CCTTATATAGCGATCCGTTCGGCTTGGGTTTTTTGGATCCGCGTGTTTTTATTTTCCTTTCGTATTTTAGCGCTATCTCCTCTTTTTGATTTTATTCAATTTAGTCCAACATTAATGATTCAATTTAATTTTTATATTTTAAATTATTTCAATTTCATCCCTATATAATTTTTATTAATTAACTATTTATAATTAATATTATAATAATTATATATTATAATTAATATTAATATAATTAATATTAATATTAACTTATATTAATATAATATAGTTTATAATTTATAATTAATATTAATATAATATAGTTTATAAACTATATACTATATTAATATAAATTATAGTTAAGATAATTAACATTAATATAAACTATATAGTACATTAATATAAACTATAGTTTATAAATTATATACTATAGGTTATAACGTATAAACTATATAGTACAATATAAACTAATGATTATAAACTATAGGTTATATATATAGTTTATATAACATATAAATAGATTGTATATATACTATACTATAGGTTATATATATACATAGTTAATATATACTATACATAGTTTATACATACATATACTATAAGTTACATATATAGTTTACATGTATACATATACTATAATTTACATATATTAACTATTGTTTATAGACTATACGTTAATGTTACATATATAATTTATATAAACTATTGTTTATATAAACTATATATGAATTATCAAATGTGTCCATACATATATAGTTTATAAAGTTTATTAATTAATATAATATAGCTTTGGAACTCTCTTTCTTCTCTTTCACTAATCAATACAAGGGAAATGAGTTATTAATTCATTAGAATACTTGGAATGAGGCTAAAAACTTTTCTATGAACATGAATCCTCCCAAAATGAGCTAGAAACCTAAGGTTCAATAAACCCCACTAAAACCCACTTTTGGCTAACTCAACCAAAACTTGCAAACAGGGGCTTGAATTGAAGCTTGGAGGGAGTAGGTTAAGGCTCTTAACTTGGAAATTTTGGAGGATTCTTGAATTTCTTAAAGCTTCCAACTTTGCTTGGCTCTTGGGGAGCAAGGAATATGAAGAGATTGTGATAGATACCAACAATGGGATGAAAAAGATAGATAATGAGGCAAACAATGGGGTGAAAAAGAGAAGGCAAGTTCTCAAACGTGATATCATCCCAAATAAATGGGATTCAACTTTGTTTTGAATAGATGGGTTAATTACTCATTTAATTCTTCCACTTTTGGTTCATGATTAAAGTCATCATTTTTAACTTCTATTGGGCTCATCCAAGCCCAAATTAAAACCTACTTGGGTCAAGCCTTTCATAAACTAGGGAAATTCATTATAAGGCCCGATTGGATAATCCCGAAATTCCTAACAAAATATTTCGGGCATTATAGTGTTAAATAGGTTCCTTACTCAGGATAGATTAATAAGGTTTGGAATGCATGTGGATGATACTAGGTGTACGTTGTGTTGGAGGAAGATTCTATCCTGCAATCATATTCTTTCAGTTGCATCTTCTCTATGGAGGTCTAGTGTGCTATATAGGGGTGTGCAAAAAATACGATTCGATCCGTTAATCCGTTGATCCGATATGTTTTTTAATTTTCGGATAGTTCGGATCAGATATCCAGAAAAAATTTCTGATAATCTGATCGGATACGGATTGGCTAAAATTAACTTTTTGATTATCCGATAGCCAAAAAATTGGGCCCTTAGGAAGGTAACCCAATAATCCTAACCCACCCAACACCCCTGGCCCGATAAAAAATGTAAAGGAACGTGGGCTTGAATAAATATCTAGGGAAATGCTTTCAACTTTGGTGTTTTAAAAGTTTGATTTATTATTGGTTCTTTCCTCCATATTATTTGCTTGATGGGTTTCTAAGATTTATGTATCATTTTCATTGTTTTCTTTTCTTACCTCACTCTTCATGTTGTTTCTAATGATGGGTTTTGCACGTGTTTGGTGTTTATTGTTGAAGAGAAGCTAAGCTGGCAGCTGTAATTGGATTAGATTTGTGAATTTTCAGTTGTTGATGTAGGTCTCATTAAGGGAGTTTGGAAAGTGGAAACAATTTTTTTATGAATCTTTTTCTTTTACTCTACCAATATCTCATTTAATTTCTAAATGTTGCATGAAACAGTTGAGGGGAATGCCTTAATATTAGGAAATAAATTTAGCATTTTCAAAGTATTAAAATTCAAAATATATCATTGAAATCAATTTTTTTATCATGAAATAAATTAATGGTACTTCTCAATCAAAAAATTAGAATTGTATCATTAATAATATGCATTAAAATATTAAATTTAAAAGCAAAACTTTTATCAAAATAGAATTTATATTCGGATCAGGTATCAAAGTATTCAATCCAAAAATTTCGGATATCTGAAAACTTGGATATCCGATTTTTTCGGATCAGATACGAATCACAATTTAAGTGATCCAAAACTTTCGGATATCCAAATTTCGGATCGGATAATATCCGTATCCGAAAATGCACACCCCTACTTGCCATTAGCATTTGATGAAAGTGTTGATGTGACAGTTAATAAAATTTATATAATTACATAATTGATCTTCAATACTTCTATATTTTATCAATTTAGTTATTAATTTAATTTAATTTAATAAATTTAATCTTCCAATCAGATAGTACATGTGTCATCATTTTATTAAATATTTTTTTGATAATTTAATATATTTAATTTTATTATATTTTCTTCCACCAGATAATGATAATGGCACCATTTGATTGGATTGAAAACAAGTAACAATTAAATATATATTGTTGTTGATTGATTGGAAAATTTTCTCTGAAATTCTCTGTGAACCCCCCCCCCCCCCCCGAGAACTTCTCCTCACGCGAGATCCCCTATCTTGGCTTATTTAATGACGGCGCCTCTCCCTGTAGAGATAGTACCGTTGATGGGTCAGCCGACCATCATACTACGGCCAATGACTACCCTACAAGTAGGATTGGGTTTGAGGAAGTCAAAATGGCTCTTAGAAAGATGGGAAGGGACAAAGCTGTCGGTCCTGATCAAATTCCTATCACTCTGTGGTTGGCCCTAGGAGAAGAGGGAGTTAACTGGTTGACCAACATCTTTAATATTATTTTAGAGACTGCCAAGATGCCAGAGGAGTGGAGAGAGTCCACGGTGATACCAATCTATAAGAATAAAGGAGATCCCCAACGTTGTGGTAACTACAGAGGTATTAAACTACTCAGTCATACCATGAAGCTATGGGAAAGGGTGATAGAGGTTAGGTTGAGACAAGTTACTAGGGTTTCGGAAAACCAATTTGGCTTTATGCCAGGTAGGTCTACCACGGAGGCGATTCATCTACTTCGACGACTTATGAAGAAATATAGGGAAAAATCTAGAGATCTTCACATGTCATTCATTGACCTTGAGAAGGCTTATGATAGCGTTCCCCGAGATACGATCTGGAAGACTTTGGAAACGAGACGGATCCCAACTGCTTATATCCGGGCGATTCGTGATATGTATTGTAGATCTACTACATACGTCAGGACTACCGTTGGCGACACTAAGGCATTCTCAGTGGAAATCGGACTCCACCAGGGGTCAGCTCTTAGCCCTTACATCTTCGCCTTGATTATGGACGACATCTATTGTGCGACACCTGACGGTGTACCATGGTGTATGCTTTTCGCTGACGACATTGTCCTAGTTGCTGAAAAAAATCTGAGTTAAATAGTAGACTGGCTACCTGAAAGACTGCTTTGGAAGAAAAAGTTCTAAGGATCAATATTGAAAAGACAGAGTATTTATGTTCAAACTTCAGTGGGGACCAAAACGATGAAGATATAGAAGTATGCATAGAAGGACACGTTCTCCCCTCAAATGATTGTTTTAAGTACCTAGGGTCTATGATACATAAAGATGGGGGTGTAGAAGATGACGTTACACACCGTATAAAGGCGGGATGGCTAAAGTGGAGGGCTACTACTGGAGTTTTGTGTGACAAGAAGGTGCCTCTAAAACTTAAGGGAAAATTTTATAGAATGGCAATAAGACCAGCACTGCTGTATGGATCAGAATGTTGGGCAACCAAGAAGGATCATGTAAGGAGGATAGAGGCCGCAAAAATGAGAATGCTTCGATGGACATGCAGTAGGACTCTGTGGGATATGACAACAAACTCTGCTATTAGGATGTCCTTGGGGGTGGTGCCTGTTTCCGAAAAATTGAGGGAGGGAAGACTACGGTGGTTTGGGCATGTCCTTAGGCGACTACCGTCGGATGCGGTCAGGAGGGTAAAGTCGATTACAGTCGACGGTGCCAGAAGGCGAGGACGACCAAGGAGGAAGTGGGAAGACTGCTTGAGATCTGATTTGATGGATTTAGCCCTCACCGAGGACATGACCTCTGATAGGAAAGTATGGAGACTCAAAACTAGGGTAGTCGAGTAGTGTGGGTAACTTCTACTTTTTATACGTTTCTGTTATTGGTATTTATGAAGGCTTAGAACTGGGCTTGCTTTCGTTGACTTCTGTGTAACATACTCTTCACTTTTAAATTTAGTCGGGTCTTACGTTTCTGTCTATATGCAGAGATTTTTTCGTATAGATTTATTTGCAGGGATTACTGTCCAAGTACAAACGCGCATATGATATTAATGATATTAATGTCTGCATATGAATACTGTTCAACTATGTATTTATGTATTTATTTATACATGCATTGCATTTTATCTATATTTTTAATTTTTTGACTGCCGGAGGTCTTCTACGGAAGCTACTCTCAATCTGGCGTTGGGGGCAGCCTACTATCCTACCTCCCCTTACCCCATTACATATGGGAATTGTGTTTTGTTGTTGTTTGTTTCTCTGATTAATTTCGTTATTCGCAATTATTGTTTGGTAGACTGGTGATTTGCGTGTGACTACATTTTGATGGTGATGGATCCCCATTATCATCCATTTTCCCCTCATATTGATTCGCTATTCCTTCTCTATGGTCGCCCAAACGAGTGGCTCTCACGCTCAGCCAAAACGGTTTGATTCTTTATTATTTCTTTGGACTTTATTACTATTGTTTGGTTTACTTATTTGGTTTCAATACCGATTGGGAATTTTCTTTTCCTCTCCACAATTCATTCTCAATGTGGTCGATCTTTATGTTTCTTCAATGGCGACGATCGGTAACGCATCTTTGGTTGAGATCTTTGATAGTCTTTGATTCTTTCGCCACGACTTTTCTCATTCGAGTGAATAGGAACCACCATTAAAGGGTTGTGTGGAAACCATCGGAGAGCCCAACCACTCACCCAACTATGGCTTTAGGACGACTGCTCAGGCAAGGCGATTCCCAGGCGGACACGGAGGCTCTGACCCACGATCGCTGGTTGGATGTTCTTATTTTCCCTTTCTTTCTCAGATACCAAGAAGTTCTTCGTTCTTTGTGGGTTCTTACTGTGTTGCAAAAATTGCACCACGCGCGAGGGGACTGCAATTCGGTGCTTCAAGGATGGCTCATTGCGTTAGTCAGTCGGTGACAATTCTGCGGCATCTCTTATTAGCGCATGAGATTGAATTCTTCTTTGCATATGAAATTGTCCAGATGCTCGAATTCTGTTTGTTCAATTTGGTTCAATTCAAGTGGTATTTGGTTACCCTTGTCACAAATTCCTTTTATAAGCATGATAGATGATGGATTGGATTGGTTCCGACATGGCTCTTCTCTCACGATTGGGTTTTGCATGTTCCTTTTTTACCCGATACCTCTTATTCGGTGAAAGTGTCTCACATTTGGCTTATCTGTTTGGTTGGTAATGCATATTTTGCTCCTTCGATGTGAAATAGGGTTTTCACAACGTGTTGGACTGTCGTGTCTACCACAATGAAGAGGAGTACTGGTAGCCCGGGAGTGCTATTGCTTATGAAATTTTGTTAGTCACATCACTGGTAACACTTCTACAAACGGCACCCTTGTACCTTTCTTTGGTTGTTTGATATTCCTCAAATAGGGTCTGGAACTACACAATTGTTTTCTCTATAACACGAGCACTAGAGATGGATATGTGTATAATTTTTGTCCTTGGTTTATTCTTTTGTATGTTTGGAGTGCCCATTTCCATTTGTACTGCCGGGTATGTTCTGCTAGCTTACTTTTATTGGAATATGCTACGGGGTCATGACCTTCATACTTGCGCAAGCATATGGAAGTATTCTTTTATTATGTTTATAAGGATTTTGTTTCCTTATGATGAAAGTTGGCTGATCATTTTTTGGTTTTTAAATGTTAAAATCTATTAAAGGTTCAAAGGATTACTTAAATACGATTTACAGAGCATTTTAGTAGTTTTAGTCTACATACATTGCTATTATTTGTGTATGTTAGTGAGGCTTGATTGTTACATCATGATAGACTATGCCAGTATTAGATACGAGATTGAATGGATGTATGCTATATTTAGTATTATATGGCTAAGTACTCTATCTCTATCAGTACATGGTGTTTTTGTTTGGCATGCATATGAATCTAATATACGATTTGTATGCTACTATTTGATTGTGTCACCTTGTTGGTTTGAGATGAATCCTACTGCTTCTGTTTCTATGTTATTATGGATGAATGTTTTAGATACTGAGGTATGGAAATGATTTCATTGGCTGAATGCTCTGTTTCTCGATGTATATTGGACATTGGAGTTTCATTGGGTACCTGATATAATTACTAATATGCGTGGCTTATTAAGGTGTGCTCGATTGAAATGATTTCCTTTTTGTCCTATGCTTGTGCAACTATTTAGTTGTGTACTGTGGTATTGTTCTGTTACCTTATGGAATCAGCGTGCCCCACAATACCCGGATTCCGTCCATACTGGATTGGAATTCTTTAGTCATTTGGGATACCCCTGGGATACCCCGGTGCGAGGTTTAATTGGTCATAGGTGGAAAGGCTATACTGTTGTACAATGACACGTGTCATATATGGAGATGGATGCTAGCTATTCATATTGGATTTATAGTGTACAGGATATACCTCTTGTGGGACAAAGCAGTCGACTTGTTTGGCAAAAGCTTTATTTCATGCCAGTTCCAAAGGGATCTGTTAGTTTGGAAAAACAGTTAAGATGACAGTATTATTTCTTAATTCAGGGTCTTCTTCACGGTAACTAGTTTGAACTAATCACTAGTTATATACTGTTTGTAGGACGATCTAGCTTTATTGTGGAGCCACCTTTGGAGAGCTGGGTTCTGCGGATGTTTCTTGTAGGATGCTTGGGCAAGTATACATGATTTGTCGCATGCTTGAGGAACCCTGGATTTACATGAAAAGTGTTTTTATATGTTTTTATCTTTGATTGGGTTGTAATAATTTTATTTCATTGGTTCGGTTTAATTGATTGGGCTGTAATAAGTTAAATTTAGTTGATAGCCATATATGTTGTAATATTTTGTGTGCTTCTAACGGGCGCAAACGTGGTGATCGAGAGGAAATGTGGGATGCATCTAAGACTCAGGCCAAAGGTTGGTACATGTCTCAGGACTGCATTTAGACTTGGGTTGGGCTTTTGTTAGTCATTTTTATTACGATTACTTTATCTAGCTTTGTCTTGGCTTATAAGACAACGTGTCCCTGTCTGGGACTCTTTGGCCATCGCCTCCATTCGTATGAATGTGAGATGGAAGGATCTGAACATGGTTTACAATATGGCATCGACTTTGAATTCGTTTTTCAAATTGATTATAATGATATCTACAGATCGAGATCGATCACATTAGAATTAGTGGCCAAGCTACAAAGTTTGGCCTCATATTACTATTTATCAGTCCAGGAGGGAGTGAACAGAGGGCAACAGGCTGACTGGCTAGGTAGGTATTGTTCCTTTACCAATTACATATCGTTTTACAGCTTTGTCTCGTTATATGGTTTGAGATCTGTCTGGTGCTTGCATTGATGTGTTTTAATTTTTTGCATAATACATCCAAATACACTGATTTGACATTTTCTTCGGATGACGGTTGGTATATCAAGAGAAGTGAAACCTTTCGTACTATATGAATAACTTAAATAGTAACACCTATTTTCCGTTGATGTTTAAATTAAACAACCAATTTGTGGAAAATTTAAAAGATGAAACAGTAGAGGTAAATGGATGGTTAATGTTAAAATTTTACAAATCGTGTTTCAATTTGCAAGACAATTACATAAATGATGCTATATAGATATTCATATCAATTTTATAGGGCTAGGCTTGCGTTTGGTTTAGTAAGTGGAATACGGAGGTGCAATTGCAACTGTTCTCAAATGCTAGGACTCTCGTAATTGCGATGCTCATGGAATTGTAATTTCGTTTGTTCTAAAATACTAGGACTGCTATATCTTCGTTATAATTTAGGCGGCTCATACTTATCATATTGGATTTTTACCGGTCATCTTCGAATATTGTGCTCTATCTGCTATTTTCTATGAGTAGTTTTACAAGGACGAGGATTTTCAACATCAACTGGTTTGGCATATGTAATGGTACGACACTTACATTGGCACACTTTTATTCAAACTCATATACTTGAGTTAGTTTACATTTCCTATAATGTAGGCACTGTATCATTATCCTATTCAGCTTCAAGGGGCGTTTTTAAACGACTAGGATTTATCTACTATATTATATGAAGAGGCTTATACAGACGAGGAGACTCCACCACTTTGCTACAACGTTTAAGTCTCCCATTATATAACACTATTGGGTGGTCTATTTGGTTATATCTTTGCCTAGTGTCCTTTTTGCTCTATCTTTGTTCCAATTCCTTTTCTTTTTTTTTTCTCCAAGGGCGTACTCTTTTCTATAGCCGACTCGTTACTTCAAAAGTTGGAGGACTTCTCCATCACTGCTGATAAGGATGTTGGGTTAGATGAACTGGGTGATTTTGGTAGGGTGAATGAGTTAGAGCCTCAATACTACCTTATGGGTAAACTATTGTTTAACAAGAAGTGTGATGGCGAGGCAGTATCATGTGTCTTTCGGAATGTTTGGGGGTCACAAGATGTAGTTGATATCGAGGAAATAGGAGCTAGTATTTTCTTAATCAAGTTCAACAATATGGGTGCTATGAAATTGGCACTTCGTCGATCTCCATGGACGTTTGAAGTTGAGTGTTTTTTCCTTAGTGCAGTATGATTCAGAAAAAGGGTGGATGACTATGATTTTGACCTGATGGAAATTTGGATACGTCTATCTAATCTGTCGTTGGGGTAGATGGAGGAGATAGTTGTTATGTTTGGTAATAAGATAGGGTATTGTTCAACAATATGGGTGCTATGATATTGTTCCTTGGTCATGCATCGATAACTTGAATGGTGTATTGCACCTCCCTTGGCTTCTTGGGGTGATTTCAATGAAGTCCTTAACGAGTCAGAAAAGCATGGTGGGAGGATAAAACCACGAATAAAAATTGATGCGTTTAGAGACATATTACAACATAATAATCTAGTTGATTTAAACCTTCTAAAGGGTGGTTTACGTTGATGTGTGGTGCGAAAGATAAAGAACCAATCTTTGAATGGTAGGACCGATTTGTTGCTTCCAAGCATTGCATTTAAGCTTTCCACATTTTCGAGTTACTTCTGAGACTGCAGACACATCAGACCACTGTTATCTGACTTTGGACACGAATTGGCAGGCACATTCTAATACTTCACCTATTTCAAATGATTGTTTTCGGTTCGATACTTATTGGGCATACTAAATAGATTGTAAGGAATGGGTTCACACATCTTGGAAATATACAAATGGTAATGCACTAAATAAAATCGAGGCTATTGATGATGCTTTGAATGATTGGCAACATGATTGCATCAGGAACAATTACGCTCGAATTAAGGATTTACGGAGACGGGTAGATTTGGTTCTACGATCGTGACAATCTAGTAGACGTTTAGGCTAATTTTGAAAATAAAAGGGTTGAGTTGTGAATGTTGCTTGCATTGGAGGATAAGTATTGGGACCAACGATCCCGAGTACAGTGGTTAACACATGGTGATAGGAATACGAGATTCTTCCACGCGAGAGCCACACAAAGGAGGAAGAAGAATCATAATGTCGGTATGCACAATAGTTAGGGTCAATGGATGACGCATCCTGAGTATTTGAAGGATATAGCTAGCACATATTTTGAGGCACTTTTCACTTCGTCTGATCCACCTCTTAATAATAGTGTCATTGTTGACGAAAACGGGTAAAGAAAACAAAAGAACACGAGAATTTTACGAGGTTCGGCAATGTGCTTACGTCCTCGGTGCCTAGGCGGCGCTAGAAGTTTTTATTCAATGAATTTTTAGGTCTAGGTTACATCTCTATTTATAATAGAAAACCCTGGTACATAATTACAAAATTAACCCTGTACCGTACCGTGGGGGCTGCGCCCCCGCACCCCCAACCCACATAATTCGTAACCCCACAACGAGACTTTCTTTGTAAGGACAGTTGATGTTCGCTTCGCTGCGTTCGCTACTGGTATATTTATGAGCCATACCTAACAAATCTCCACCTTGGCGAATATCCTGCCTCTTGGAAAATTCAATGTGGGTTGGGTTACCTTGATTCTTTAACAACTAGAAACATTCAACAAGTCCAAGCAATGCTTGAACTTGTCTGTCGTAACTGGCTTAGTGAACATATCAGCGGCATTCTCATCAGAATGTACCTTCTGAAACAAAATCTCTCCAGATGCAACCAACTCTCTGATCTTGTGGAACCTTACATCAATATGTTTAGTTCTAGCACGATACACCTGATTCTTAGCCAAGTGAATAGCACTTTGATTATCACAAAGCAACTGAACTCCACCTTGTTGAACACCCAACTCCTTCACTAAACCAGTAAGCCATAAAGCTTCTTTTGCAGCTTCAGCCGCTGCCATGTACTCAGCTTCAGTTGTAGATAGAGCCACAATAGATTGAACAGTAGACTTCCAACAAATAGGCCCTCCACCAAGAGTAAAGACATACCCTGTCGTAGATCTTCTATTATCCAAGTCACCTGCATAGTCTGAATCCACATATCCTACAACCAAAGGATTATCCCACTGACTCCCAAAAACAATTCCATGTCCCACAGTACCCTTTAAGTACCGAAAGATCCACTTGACTGCTTCCCAATGTTGCTTACCAGGTTTAGACATGTACTTACAAACTTGACTAACAACATGAGCTAAATCAGGACGAGTACATACCATCGCATACATCAAGCAGCCAACAGCATTAGAATACGGAACCTTTGCCATATCTTCAGCTTCCTTATCTGTCTTGGGGCACTGTTCTGATGAGAGCTTAAAGTGATTCGCCAATGGAGTGCTAACTGGTTTCGCGTTGCTCATCGCAAACCTTTCTAGCATTTTCTCAACATAACCCCGTTGAGATAGCCGCAGTTTCCTTGAGTCTCTGTCCCTGCAAATTTCCATTCCAAGAATTTTCTTTGTAGCACCTAAATCTTTCATATCAAATTCCTGACTCAATAAAGTTTTCAAACCGATAACATCATCCATGTTCTTCGCAGCAATCAACATATCATCAACATACAGTAATAGAAAAATAAAAGAACCATCATCAAGGCTCTTAACATAGACACAACAATCATACTCACATCGGTTGTAGCCAATCTTGATCATATAGGAGTTAAACCGTTTATACCACTGTCTCGGAGACTGTTTCAACCCGTACAAAGATTTCTTCAATCTGCAAACTAAATGCTCGTTTCCAGGTTGAGTAAAACCTTCAGGTTGCCGCATGTAGATCTGCTCCTCTAAATCACCATGCAAAAAAGCAGTTTTAACATCCATCTGCTCTAAATGCAAATCCCAACTAGCCACCAATGCAAGTACTGCTCGGATTGAAGTGTGCCTGACCACAGGAGAAAAGATTTCATCATAATCAACTCCTTTCTGCTGTGAAAAACCCTTCGCTACCAAACGAGCCTTGAACTTCTCCCCCTCTTTTTCTGTTACTACTGGTTTCTTCTTATACACCCATTTGCAACCAATCGACTTCTTACCCTCAGGAAGGGGAACTAACTCCCATGTGCGATTGTGATTCAAAGACTCCATCTCCTCAACCATGGCTGCCATTCACTTGTCGTTTTCCTGACTAGTAACGGCATCATGAAAAGTAACCGGATCATCACTGCTAACAATAAGTGCAAAAGATACCAAGTCTTCAAAACCCAATCTGTTCGGAGGCTTTATATTCGTCCGTCTCACCCTGTCTCTGGCGAGACTATAATCCTGCAAATCATCCGTAGTGGAACCACCAGAAGTCGGTTGAGAAGTTTCTGGTTTCTCAACTGGAAACTGCTCGAAATCCACCACTGTCGTGTCTTGCTTCTGCTGCAACATGGATTGTTCATCAAAAACGACATCTCTACTAATCACAACTTTCTTCGCAACTGGATCCCA